TTATTATTATTATTATTATTATTATTATTATTATTATTATTATTATTATTATTATTTAGCATACGGCATATCATACATAGACTAGCAATATATATTAACATTGCAACACACAAATTATATGGAATAAGTATAGTAAAATGATGGTTTCTGATTCAGTTTAATACTACATCTGACAGCTTTTAATTTTGTGAAGAAAATGTGTGCATAATATATTAAAGAAATTTCTACGTGTCTGTTACAAAAAAAACCTCCACAAGAGGTTTTAAAAGCATATACAGTATGCTTCTATTATTATTATTTATCTCATTGGCATTAACAGTTTCAATCAATATTTCAGGTAAATAATAATAAATAGTAAACAAATAGGCAAAGAATAATTTGAGAGGTGAATCAACATATTTCAAATAATATTTTACCCACATTTAAGTGCTTCATCAATCTATCTTAACTGACTGCTGGTAATTGTAACATATATTCACCTGTTATTCTGTGCTATCCATAATTTCAATACTTTTTAAAAATCAGTTTCTGATATCTCAAACAGCACAAAAGCAACATAATAAAGTTATGTGTATTGAAGCTTGCACTAAAGAAACAGCTAGCACAAGTATTAAAAGATGCCTGTACTGTAACATCAGATATAAGCAGCAGGTGACTGTAAGAAATAAGCCAACTAATGTAGAGCATGGCTGCAGGTATAATTTAATACCCTGGATACAAAATCAACAAACAAGAATAAAAGCCAAGCAGTGCACCAGCAAAATGGAAGTTAAAGCTAGAAAAGTAGATCAGCAAACTAAGATCAGATGCACATAAGCTAGAACAGATGAAAGAAAAGAAGCTGAAGATGACCAAATAATATCTGATCAAGAAATATCATCTAGAAAAAAGGAAAATTAAGAAAGCACGGAAATAATAAAGCAGCTAACTGCTACAGTCAGGAAGATCAGCAAATATGAAGCTTAAATTGCATGCTATAAGGTAGAATCTCCAATTTCAATCAAATCAGTAACTTTTCTATCAATCCATTAATGGAGAGACTGCAGTGAATCAATGAACACTCAGCAAAAAAAGGAAATGGTAATGTTCAGTAGTAGGATTAATTTTTTTTTACTACCAGTTCTGTGAGCGTGGCTTGGTGGGCATGGCAGGGGAAGGATACTGTAAAATCTCTAGTCAGAGGTGGTATTTGCCAGTTCTCTGAACTACTCAAAATTTCCACTACTGGTTCTCCAGAACTGGTCAGAGCCTGCTGAATACCACCTCTGGTAATGTTCTGGTTGTCACTATAGGACAACTAAAGAAATACAACAAGAATGCAACTTGGATAATTGAGGTGGATAAGAATTTTTGAAAAAGCTGAAATGAAAAAAACATATACAGATATTCCTTGACTTATGACCACAATGAAATCCAAAATTTCTGTTGCTAAGTGAGACAGCCATTAAGTGAGTTTTGTCACATTCTGCATCCTTTCTTGCCACAGATGTTAAAGGATTCACTGCAGAGATTAAGTTAGTAACACAGTTGTTAAGTGAATCGGGCTTCCCCATTGACTTTGCTTGTCAGAAGTTTGCAAAAGGTGATCACATGACCCCCGGGACACTGCAACTGTCATAAATACATGGCAGTTGCCAAGTGTTTTAATTTTGATCACATGATCATGGGTTGGGTTCAATGATTGCATGAAAAATTGTCATAAGTCATTTTTTTCCAGTGCCGTTGTAACATCAAACAGTCATTAAATAAATTGTAAATTGAGAACTATCTGTAATAACAGCAGAAATGGTGGGGAAAAGGCAAGGAAGATTAAGAATTATTCAGTACCAGGTAAAGATGAACTGCATGATTGTTGCTGAAATGTCTGATTGATCTAGATCCAATGACTACCAATCAGTTTAATAATATATTGCAAGGAGGTGAAATTGAAGATTGGTCAACATCTAGCAAAACTTACTTGATAATGAAGTACCCTATCAGAAAGGCACCACCAGGTAACTATAGGCCAATTATCAACAACTTTCAAATGGCTAACTGATGTGATAGCTGAAGCAGTCCAACAGTGAAACCTCGGGTCGTGAACGCTCCCATTTGTGACCAAATCAGGTTCCAACCCAAAAATCCACCTGATTTTTGAATCAGGTCACGATTCAAAAATCAAGTGGTGAACAAACTTAGTCACGGCTGGTTCCCTTGCTGCGGCATCCCTTTCTGTGCATGTGCAATCCGTCTGCACATGCACAGTCGGTCATGCTTCCAGTCACGACCAAATCGGGTTGTGACCCTAGTCCTGGAACGAATTACGGTTGTGACCTGAGGTTCCACTGTTGTTGAAGAAAGCTGTTTCCACCTGAGCAGAAAGAAAATTGCCCAACTAGCAGAGGAACAAAATTCTCACTGACAAGATAATTTTGGAAAACTGCAAGAGAAGGAAAACCAATCGAAAGTAGCTTGGATTGCTTTACAAAAATGCATTTGACTCTCTGTCATATGATTGGATAACCAAGTGCCTAGAAATAACAGGAGTCAGGAGAAACATCAGCAACTTTATGCAAAAAACAATGGCACTATAGAAGACACCGAGGTCCATGGTGATTGCCTGGGAGAAGTTAATATCAAGAGAGGAATATTTCAAAGAGACTCACTATCACCATTATTGCACTGATTCCTCTGACAATAATACTGATCCAGTCAGATCATGACTATCAAACATTTATTTATTTCATTAAATTTAAATGCTGCCCATCTCCTTAATAAGGCAGCTCTTATCATAAGAGCCATAACTTATCATATCATACACGTCTGCCAGGCTATACCACTTCTTTTACATGGATGATCTGAAGCTGTATGGAAAAACACCAGCTGAAATAAAACCACCGCTCAACACTGTCCATATATACAACCAAGATATTGCAGTAGAGTTTGGATTGACAAATGGGTCACCCTCATCATCAACAGAGGAAACATAATGAAAACCGAAGGAATCGAGATGCTCTATGGCAATAATATCAAGAATCTGGATGAAAACAATAACTACAAATACGAAGCAAACATCCTCAAGCACACTGAAATCAAAAAGGTTAGAAGTGAGTATATCATAAGAATGAATTTTAAAATCCCAACTTAGTGAAGGAAATACCATGAAGGCGATTAACACCTGGGCAGTTCCATTCATTAGCTATATGGTACAGCTGGAATAGTGGACTGGACTCAAGCAGAATTAAAAAGTCCTCAATAGAAAGACCAGAAAAATAATAACAATGATTTTATACCCTTCATTCATTCACACTGCAATATTGATAGACTCTATTTACCAAGGAAAATAGGAGGGCTTGGAGTATCGCAAGTACATCAGACAGTGGAAGAAGTAAAAAGGACAGTGAAGAAGATGCTCTGAAGCTAGTACATCATGAAGGTTTACAAAATACCAAAGAGACCAAACTATCCTATAAGAAAGGTCAAATGAAGAAGAGAAAAGAGAACACAGGTAAGGCAAAGCATTACATGGCCGGTAGATTTTTTTTTTTTTTTTAAAGCAAGCAATCAGATCTGGCCAGTGGCTAAGAGCAGGAAAATTGAAGAAAGAAACAAGAGGGGCTCATTCTGGTTGCATAAGACCATACTTTCTCAAGTTGCATTCCTGCCCGAGACCCACCTTTCTTTTTTCTTACAGTTGCCTTGATAGTGCTTTTTCCTCCTGTTACTCAAGATTATTCCTTCCACCCGTTACACTCAGAAGAGAAGTTAATTAATTAATATATCCAGTCATCTCATACAAGTGATTCTGTGTGGATTACAAGGATTAAAACACAGAAAGCCTCACCACATATTACCCGCAGCATCCAAGGATAAACAATACCCCCAGACATTAAAACACACAACAACAACACAACAACAAAGTTCTTCTCTCCATCTAACCCAAATGTCTGTGGAAAGAGCTATGTCTTCAATGTCTGATGGAAGGACAAGATGAAAGACTGCTATAAATAAATAAAATTGGCAGAGATGAATTGGCATAATACCATTTCTCAGTCCCTGGCTTTCATGTCTTCCTGATAAACATGTTTGTGAACACAAGTACTGAGGTTTAGCTTTCCATCAAGGACACTTATCTTCTGAACTTTAATAAAAAAAAAAACATTGACATATTTTCAGAAATATGAAGGATTTATTTTTACAAGAAGTGTTTTGGGGTTACACATTTATTTTATTTGTTGAAAGTAGCATATTTCCAAGTGCAGTTTAATAATTACGCTGGGCCATTTATAAAAACAAACAGACAAATGTACAAATGTTTTCAAAGGAAAAATAAAGTAGATAATTATGAACAGCTAAGATTAAGAACTGGGAAAGAAACCATGGATTTTTTTAAAAAGAAAAACCAAATGTGAATTCTAGTAGTTGGATAAGCTTTTCTTGCAAACTGACATTAAATAAATAAATAAAAACAAATATATAACAACAATAAAACATTGCCTAGGGCTCTGGAGTTAAAGATGCTCACCAGTACAAAAGAGATAACACATGATACAAAAATCATTTCCAGACATGATGGTTCTTAAATTTAAATGAGGCTGCCAACCATGAGTGAACAAGTACCAAAATGGCTAGTAAACAGGAATATAGCAATAATTTTTCCCCATTTATATGTTAAATGAGCAAGTATTATGTTGTCTCTGGAGTCCATTAAAACAGAATGTTCATAGAAGACTTCCTCAGTCAGTGAGAGTGTGTGTTCATTTTAGAGTAGTTAATGCTTGAATTTAAACACTTTCAAGCAGAAATATGCACATGAT